GGATCAATAACTTGGATCCAAGATCCGAAGAACATTGAAACCTAATGAGCAAAACGAAGTCATCCAAAGAACACAAAGAAAGATAACCCATTTCTGTCAGGTATTTTTTTTTACTTCATCTGCTGTTGATTTTCTATTTTTTTTTTATTAAATTTTTTGCTTCAATTGCGAACATTGAAATTTGAAAGTTGAATTATGGTGTTTTGAAAAGGATGTGATTATTGATTTTCTAAATTGATCGTGGTTTTTAAATCATCTGTGGTTTTGAAAGGAAATTGATCTGGTTGATTAATGTTTTGGAAAATTTGGTACTTCAATGCTCTATGTTTTAAGACTTTTAAATTGTTGATTTTCTAGCTGCTTCTGTGTTTGGAAATTGATTCAATGTTTTGAAATTCGTGTGATTTTTGGGTGAATATTGCTTCTGTGTTTGGAAAGGATGATGAAAAACGGGACGGGGGAGGAAACGTTGTTTAAGCTGGACTTGGCAACTTTGGCAGCTTGCCAAAGCTTGAGCCATATTTGGACCCAGTGTTTTGACACTTTACTAAAGATAGCAGTCTCAAAAACTTACCAATTAGAGGTGCCTTTCTATTAACTGCTGCCATAATTGGCAATACAGCTCCAATGCACAAACATTGAAAGATGTTCTTAGGTCCTAATTTGAGGTTGTTCAATTAATCTTCTCTTTGTAAACATTCACAACAAGTATACTCACCTCTTCTCACTTCCAACAGTGGTATCAGAATTTATAAGTAAATTGTCATAATTTCCCAACAATGGTAATCAGAGCTTACCGGCTGCCAACAAAGATATCAAAGCATACTATTACAATCTCTCTTTGTGAGGCCCTAACTTTTTGGGTAATGTCCCCAAACGCTTATTTAGTTTGAAGAATTTCAATCAAGAACTTTGCTTTCTCATTTCTGTGCAATTAACCTAGAAATAAGACATGCATTGTGCGAGAATACATAGCAAACCCTAAACTTGACTCTAGAAATTAAGAAAACATTTTAAAAACACTGATTAATAATTAACCTAGAAGAAAAGTTATATGAGAAAACTCTAATTTTCAGAATCGGCAGTTTAGCCCGGTATCTCGCTTTTGTTGCGAATGACAACACGTGGCGAATATTTTTTTTATCATTATTTTATTAAAAAAAATGAGTGAACCCTGAGGGTGACCCAACCCGTCTGTGATGCTATGGTCCAAAAAAAAATTTTTTTTTGTCTCCTCTCGTTGACCCCCCGTGTATGTATGAGTTTTGTATCAGTTTGTTTTATTATTATATAACTTAAACATATGTTTATTTCAAAATGTTCATATTGTACCCTTTTCTTTCCTAATTATTACTTGTGGCCTAAACCTTAGATTTTTTATTCATAGAGGGTACACCAATAATTTTATTTATACAAATTCTCTGTATTTTATTAACAAAAAAAAAATCAAATTTTCACATGGGTTAACATAGGGTACCGGTTGTGGGGTGGTGAATAAGACCTAGAATTGTATTTTTATACATATGCAAATCTTAGATTAATTATGGCACAAATCTTTGACAATGGAGATGGGGGGCATTTATTGTATATTTTTTGTGTCTCCCATTAAACTAAGATAGGGAGTTACTTTCTCTTATGAAGATTTATTAACAAAATCTTAATTGTGATTGATCAAACAACCAACTTGAATAGTTCTATTAAAAACCAACAAACTAAACCAACTGCATTCTCTCTGCTTCCTTGGCCTATTAAATATAAGCCTTGCTAGATTTTTTATTTCTGATCGCAATTCTAGGAGTGAGGAAAGAGAGGTGGGTAGACGGGATGCTTTCTTCGTGGTCTACCTCTTAGCTATGTTCCTCATCATTCATCATTCTCTTCTGTTTCACCATCTTCGTATTCGTGGTCACAAACAAGGGGGCTGAAGAGGTGATCTATGGGAAGGGCTATAAGGGGTATAGGCTTGGAGATTACTTGAAAATTGGTTGCAGAAAACAGACACACACACGCACACACACAGAGGTTTTGATGATAGAGGAGGAAAAAGAAAGAGGAGAGGCAAAGTTGCAAGACTGAAGAGGGAGAGGGAAGACAAACTAATGAAGGTCTTGCAAAATGGGTTAAGATGATTATAAAGAAATCATCTCAATTGTTGGAGATTGTTGGGTGGACGGTGGTGATCTGCTTGGTATATAGTAAAAGAGTCATTGTGCTCTGGTTTGCCAAAATTAATAAATAAAAAATAAAAAAATTTGAAAAATAAGTATGAATTTTGTTTAATTTAATTTAATTTTATTATTATTATATTTTTGTAAGTGGTATGAAAATTTGGTGGGGTGGAATTATATTTAGTTTTTTTTTTCAATTTTTTTATTTTTTTTTTTCATGTTTTTATATTGTCTAGTCGGGAATAATATAAATATATAATTTTTTTTTTTTTATAAACAGCTAGAAAAAGGTCACATATAGACAAAAATAAACCAAAAAAAAAAAAAAAATCACTATCATCTACAAAGTTGAAGGGAAAGTTGGTTTAAGATTTTTCAAAAAATAGCAGTGACATTAGAGCACTGTGCTATAATTTGGTAAAATCAGCATTAATATATTTATTGCCATAAAATAGTGCTATTTTTAGGCAAACCACTATTGGAGATGCTGTAAGAAATTGGTCAAAAGAATATGAGTTAAATGGGAATAAAACTCTTAGAAAGATGATTTTATTAAAAGCTTTCCAAAATTTAAAACTAAATAAGATGATATTTTTTTGTATTTATTTAAATATTTTTTTAAAAAATATTCACAATATATTGTTGTATGGAGAGAGATTGATTGCAAGCATCGGTGGGGATTGAAGTAAATGTGAGTGAGAGGAGAGAGAGGTTTGGGACATAGAGATAAAGATAACGTGAGGATTGAGATGAATTTAGGAGGCGAGAAAATTGGTGAAGGTCAAATCTTGAGACCTTTTGCATTCAAACAGCATTAAATGCTTTTATTATGTTTATTAAAGGCAATGGCATCATTTGAATTAATGTTACTAACGGTAGTAGGAGCATAACATGGATATGCCTCATTCGATATAAAAGATTTATTGCTTATATGTTGCTTCACAATCCCTCTGCTTCTCTTAACCATATTTACGGGGTGTTTAGCGTATTTTAACACATTATTTTATTTGGGTCATAATTATTTTATTTAGTGTCCATATATTTTTAATTAAATTCTTTCAAAAATTAATTATATTTTATATTTTTTTTATAAAAAATCAAAAAAAATATATTTATTTAAATCATCAAATATCTCCTTACTTTTCCTTCTCTTTACTCATTTATTATAATTTATATCTAAAAAATCTAGAACTCTCCTAGATTTTTCCAATTGGTATTGAGCGGGTCGCTCTATTTTTTTTTAAAATATCTATTAGAGCGAGATTCTTATTTTGTAATGCCCCAAAGTACACATAAACATAACGCCAAAAGCATATATAATGACAACATAAATCAAGTGTATAACGTTTTTCATTTCATAACGTAAATAGTACAAAGGCTTAACATAAATTAATTCTCTATTCGGCTTACATGCTTTTCCAAGTCTTGTTCGGTTACAACAAAAGAGAGACTAGCTCATTTAAAATTAAAGCCCTAGGCTATACAAAGAATGAAACAAAACAAGAAGCCTCTCGCTTCCCAAAACGATCCACCAATGCTAATTGCCTTTGTGAGGCAGCCATAAATAGCCTGAAAATCAGTTTTCCCAAATAAGGTGAACCAACAGCCAGCAGGAATAATCTAACACAATATATGAGATTTAACAAAGATATAAGTACATGTGCATATACAATGCCCGAGATCAATTATTCACACTTTTATATTGTAGTAGAATACCAATTCCATATTCATTTTCCTCCAAATCATTTCAATATATGAGCCAATTTCATTATTTCTTTAA